CAGTAAATGCAATAAAATCGTACCGTTTGTTTTTATGGTCGTCACAATAATTTCTAACTGTCTCCTCTATCTCTGCAGGAATTTAAAGCCACATTCCAACAGGCTGATTTTTGGGTGATTTACCATTCAGCATTCATATGGACACAGGGGACTTGAACCGTGTCTGATGTGTGGCTGCTGTGTTAGCCTTTGACCCCAGACTGTCTGGAGGGCCACGGTGACAGAGAGTCAAGGTCAAGGGGAAGGGGGGTGGGGATGGGGATGAGGCGTGGAGAGCATCTGACGGGTGGACGGGCTCCCTGTCTGGGAGTGCGGGACCCAGACAGTCCCAGACGTCTATCTGAGGGGAGACAGTGTTGTGTGTGAACCCCTTTAGATCCCCTCATCCTACCCTGTCTGTTCCCACTCACCTCCGTGGCCCTTGAGGGGGAAACAGGGGTCGGTGATGTCTAGAGTAGTGGCGGGGTAAAGGTTCCCAGGCTGGAGGAGGAGATACACAAATCTGAATTTCACTAATCCTTTAGATACAGATAAACACAAACCAACACCCTTTTAATTTAAACTCTGTCTCACACAATAGCTTTTATTATTTATTATTTTATTATTATATGTTCTGACAGTGAAGATTTTTTTTAACTTCAACTCGTACGAACTATGAGCATAACTGTGAATTCTTGTTTATTACTTTTATTATTATTATCCAATATCTTAATATATTTCTGTATTATATTTAACTGTGTACAGGACGTACTAGACTTGCATAACCACATACAGCATTTAAAGGGTCTATAATTGTTCAAAGGTCCAGTGTGTACCGCAAAGGAGAAACTATGAAACTCTCTAAAAAAGTGCATGCCCCCGGAGGCAGTGTTTGTTATATTGTAAAAACATGGTGGTTTAACATGGTGGACTCCATTGGGGGCAATCTGAGTCATCTGTAGATAAAAACAGCTCATTTTAAGGTAACAAAAAGACAATAATTCTTATGTTTTCAGGTGATTATACACTAATGAAAATACAATTAAGAATATTATATTCTATTTTTGCTAATAAAAAGTCCTTTTGCACTGGACCTTTACATTTATAGTTGTTATAGAGCATGGTTTTGGTTTTTAGTTACGTAGTTTTTATTGCATTTAATTCAGATTTAACTTTCTATTCTATTTTAGAGGACTCTTTAGATGGTTTCATTTAAATCAAATGATCCATTATTTCACAAAAAAGCAAAGATGAGATTGAAAACATGAATAGATTATTTTGAGGCAAAACTTTCTTTTTGCTTCTTTTCATTAATCACACAACCCCTCAGATTTATCTTGTGCTCTTCGGGGCCCAATCGCAACATTAGGAAACACTAAACTGCCAAACTGTGACCTGGAGGCTTTAAGTTTATAGCATAGTGGACCACGATTGTCTTTCAAACTAGTTGCGATGTCAAAAGATCCGGCTTGTATACCTTAATGTCTTAACCCGAGAATTTAAGGTGAGCATAGAAATACTTTATCCCTTCAATGTCTTCTAGTGTCAAAATCTGCACATATGCTGCATCATTGTGCACAGTGAAGCTCAAACATCCAAGTGAAGAAAAAAGAACATCTTTTGGTCTGGAGGGGGGCTTTAAGTTGGGTTTTAAATGGAGTATTTTTACATGGTGCTCATGCTTTTACGCCAGTTCAGCATCTGAGTATTTCTTCCACAACTGACTACAAAGAGGCAAAGACACCAACACAGTACATCATTACAAACTGATTGAACATCTACTAGCAGCAGCTCCCTCTACAGGTAATAAACGGTGCCACTTTCATAGTAGAAACCTTCTGTGCTTAACATTCCCCGAACCCCCCTGTTCACTCTGCCAACCAACATAACCTGCCATAGACTCACACACACACACAGTCACAGATATAAGGCCCCCCAGACCTCCCGGGTGATCCGCAGTGGAGCGTGTAGCCACCTGTCAATCACCAGATCTCGGCTGCCTTAAGAGAGACATTTCGTCTGGGACAACGGCAGCCCGTCCCTCCCCATACATTCTGCCTTCCCTAGCAACCATCGCTGGATGACTGAGGGGCTTTGTCCCCTCACAACGGGAGTCCACCATTGAACCCTGAAGCCCGTAGCAACCAGAATTAGAGGGTGCCAGAAAGGGGTCTTTTCTGTGAAACGGGGGTGAAAGCTCTGTTCTCTGTCCCTACGTCTGGGATTCATATCAGGGGCCTGAATGGCGTCCCCTCCTCCTTTTAAATGCTGGTGTAACGGAGCGTATGAAGGGGCTAGCGGTGAGCGGATAGGATCATGGTTAATCTGCTGTTCCTCTCCACTGTGGTCCGATAGGGACACTTAAGCAGTCTCTGTGGACAGTCAGTGGCGTGGGGAGGCCTGTGGATACTTGAGGCAGGCAGAGCTGGGAGGTTCATCAGCAGGTTGCAAACAGAAGGGCAAGAAGTGATGGTCAGTGGAGGGAGAAGTACTCCAGTACGTGTACTATACCTGTACAACAATATACAAATAGTTCACTACAAGTAGAAGTCCTTCATTCAAAAACGTACTTTAGTGAAAGTATCAAAGTATGTTAGGAAAATGTACTTAAACTATCAAATGTTTTAATGGCTTGTGTAGGCCTAACTGGTATGTTATTAAATGTAGTGAGTAAAAAGTACAGTGTGGTGGAGTAAAATGGTATTACTCAAGTAAAGTACGTATGTTCCTCAGTGCTTGATTAAATGTACTTCCACCGCTACTCTCCAGCTCTGAGTGGGTCACAAATAAATCTGAGAAGATTAAAAAAAAGAAGGATAAAAACAATGTTTTGCTACACAAATTCATATACATTTTTAAAAATTTCGCTCATCTTTGTTGTCTGTGAATTAAACAAAATATTCAGATGTTTAAGGAGGGAAATCCCTCTGGTGGAACTCCTAACAACTCAAGGTGAAAAGGGGCCCCAAATGGACACTGGTCGCATCACATGTTACTAATGTAAAATCTTGGCTTGCTTCTTTATGTTGATTACTTACCAGCACTCATGACAGGACAGATGGTGGGAAGTTATGGCACTCATGAAGTGCCAGAATTGGGCATCAAAAAGACAGTCCAGATCTAAGTCCTCAGAGATGTCTTGGAAGTCAAATGCACCTGCTGAGAAGTAACCTTTAGGGGACACTGAAGCTGTATAGAGAGAAAAGAGTAAGGGCTTGAATAGTTTATGAACAGTTCTATGGACTTGTGGTTGCTTTTAATAGAGGCTTTTATTGCTCTCTTTATAAGGGATGAACATGGATCCCTGAATGCCCCTCTAACCGCTGTGAATCCTCGTAACTGTAAAGTGAATTCAGTGGGTTTGCACTGACTGACACATATCTGAAGACTGCAAGTTTAAAACAATCTGATGAATACACTGGCAGGCAACATGAGCGCCATTATACATATTATGTTGTTTTCTTAGGATAATGGTGAAAAATACGGAAACAAAACACAACCAGGTGCTCTAATGCGACCTCCCACGTTGTACTTGTTCTGTACATTTTACATCAGTACGTATAGAAGATTACAAACTAATCTCGACCTACAAACAACATCGCTGGCATGCAGAGAAAACATGCTTTTCCTGGTATGTTCTTTATCATTAATGAGCGTCTCTGCAGCCCCCCGTATGGCACGATGTTTTGTGCAGTTCCCATTCTAAGCCCTCGTCCTGCACCCTCTTTCCCACCCTCTCCTTCCCCCTCGACCTGTCAGTCAAAGACCATGATTGAGCCCGGATGGCAGGCAGTCAGTCATCAGCAATGGAAGTGAGGCCTCGTTCTCTGTCTGTCCCTCCCCCTTTTCATGCCCCCTTGCCTCCTGAAGTTTTTCCTCCCCACCTTCTCTGTAGCCTCTCGCCCCCCACCCCTTACTCCCCTGCTGTCCCTGTACAGTTTGTGCTTTCCCCTGTGGAAGTCACATCTGTCCAAAGTAGGGTGAACTTCTTCAAACATGGCTGTCATGACGCCATACGGCTTGGCTCCCTCAACCTCAGAGGGGAAGGCCTGGTATCATTAATAAATAAGTCTGATTTAGTTTTAACAGGCCTCTGCATTTGCCCTTTAAGTGGCTGATGAATAAACATGAGTAGAGTTGGGGCGGGAACTGCATGGGGGTTGGATGAGAAGAGGCCCAGTTTGTGTGTGTGTGTGTGTGTGTGTATGTGTGTGTATGTATTAGGGGGGTATCGAGGGCAATGGGGGAGCCTTTCTTCTCAGCAGGGCTGCATCTCGTTTAATTGGAGCACTTGTGGCACCATTACCTCCCTTACTCAAACACGTTACTGATGACAAAAGAAAACAGCACTAAGCCTGCCTTTGTTAGTGAGGAGACTGAACGAGGAGATGGATTCCTCGCTGCTACTCATGTGTGGGAATCATCCGCACTCCCATTATGAGCTGCTGCTGCTGCTGCTGCTGCCTACAACCAATGAAACGCCGCAGCCAGGTGGACAGGAAGCAGAGCACACATGGAAATTACACCCTTTATCAGAAAAATGATGGACAGAAGAGCTGTTAATCAGACACAGAAATAAACTGTGTCGTGAAATGACATTCAGTATTGGACCAGCTGGGCATCATGTTCATCTTTCATATACTGAAAGGGTTTCTCATCAATGTGCAAAAAATAGCCCCAGTATTCAGTGTATGAATCCACAGGAACTCTCTCTGTTAATCAATTTCCAAATGATTGACTCCAGCATGTGTGTGCAGCCCTGTCAGTGACCTTGCCCTTTTGCTACCCTTTGACCCGAGGACATGATGAGGCTGAGTTTGCTTCTGGTCACCACAGTGTCCCGAGAGAGCAATAAGGGTGTGACTTTTACCCTGAGTCTGACCCCGCTGGAGAGGGGACAACAAAGGGTCACATAAATGAGGGAAACACATTACATCTCAAGTTTTTTATTGATTAATCTCAAATTTAAAGGTATTTTTAAGTGGTTAAAGGTATTGAATTACACAAAAATAGACTTAAAATATATCATGTAATTATGATGCTTTATTAATAATTCATTCCTCATTTGCAAAATTACATTACCATTAACAAACTTCACTTTTCAAAACAGCATGACATACATATTCTATTGTGTACAACATCTAAATGTACAAACAGAGTATCAGCATTTGACAAAACCATACATTTTCAGATCAGTAATGTGAATAAAATATCTTCTACACTTTAACCTCCTTATTTAGTATTTAGAAGAGATACATGAATATTTAATAAATGGTTTATAATACAACACAGCAGATATAGAATATGCATTCATAGGACATAGTAAGTTATAACTGTTGACAAATACTGTATATTAATAACACTTTAAAATATCCTTTTGTACTGAAAATTGCATGCTGTATATACCATTTATTAAGTGTTTATGTAGTGCTTCTAAATGCAAAATGCTAACTGGTAAATAACTGAGTGTAAAAGTTATCTATGAAGACACACAAAATCATTTAAATTCTGTTTTAATGCAGATGAAGATTCAACTATATGCAAATTAACATGCAGCAATTTAAACTGACAGCATAAACTTGCCCAAAAGTCTTAACATTGTATCTGCAGTCGGTCACACAGAGAGAAAAACATTTACATCATGAAAAACTAAGATTTGAAAGCTCCAGTGGAAAATACTTTCAAATTTCTCTCACAATCACTTAAAGGAACTGTGGTAATGTTCTCACCGTCACATTTCAGTTGGGTACTGATCCATTACATCTTGTTTTATGTGAAACGACATAAAAATTCTGCAGTTTTTCTAAGTAAATGTACCTGTCTCTGTGTCGAAATGAGGCAAATCACTCCACCTGTACTGAGATAATGGCACTCATTTAACAGATTTAATAAAAACTATTGGAATATTAATTGATTTAAACTGAAAATAAATATCTATAATATAAAACAGAAAAGATCTTATTCCACTTGCAGTTTTCACTTCAAAGAAACAAACAAAAAAAGATTTTAAGACTTAATTCTAGGCTACAACACCCAGTTAACAGACTGAAAAATAACTGCTTTTGATTGGTGGGGAATAATTGTATGAAATGAATATTTCTGCCAGGAGGAGAGTGAAAGGAACAAACAGGCCATGTGTGATAAAGAAATAGCTCCCTGAGGATCCAGGCCTAGCGTCAGTTCTGCTCCATGGTGAAATTTGACTCCGCTCTGAAAAAAAAAAAATAATAATAATAATAATTTTGTTAATAACAATGACACTAAGGAAAGTTGTAGCTCACACTATACATTTAAAATATCAATATATTTTCAAATTATCTTCTTCTGCGGCCTCATTACTTTGAAAAAACATCTTATTTATTGAGATTTGGTCAGTAGATGTTCCAGTTTTTTTTTCCAAATAGTATAATTTTTATTTCCACAGTAACCATGATTTCTGTTGCACAACTTCAAGGTCACTTTGAAGAGCTGCACATGTCTTGCTGTGAAGAACCCCTATCAATAAACATCACAGGTGAGTTTCACCTGGAAGCACAGAGCACGTCAGCATTTCATAATCAAGCCCACACTGAGTGACGGCACAGGCCTTCTGCGGTGGCGGCGCCATTCTATCTGTAGCCGCATCCTGATCGTGTGTTCATACTGTATCCAACACTATGGATAGATATTCCCAATAAAGGGCAGGCATTACAATGAGCCACATAGTCTTTACAGATTTGTATCTGCTGCCACCAAGAGGACACTGAATGAATTACATTCACAACAACAAAGGCACTACCTGCATGGTTTGTTTGGTGTGGGAATAGCATAGCTCCATGACCAGAACACTGTCGTCAGATAAACTAAAAGGACACTTACACATCTTTGTTCCGCATGTGGTTGTTGTATTGAAGGACTGGTGGGACGGTCTCTTCATCATCAGGAACCTGTGAATAATTAGTTTTAACATAATGATTCAGGGGGAGAATAATAACCACACAATCAACCAACAACAATATCACGCTATGTGCACTAATGCCATAAAATGGAAAATTATGTGTTATGTAACACATTAAGTGTTTCTTTGTAAATAGAGGTGGCTGAAGGGCAGAAGGCCATTTACTAAAGTATATAATCAGTGGAAACAGCCTCAGGGTAAGGAACACAAATCAGTTAAATGTTTCCAAAGAAGAATAGCAAAACAAACTAAAAGTAGTAGTAGTCTAGCCTCTAAATCAGTGTTTGATTTCATAACTTTACAGATACGATCTTTTGAGTATCTCTTGTAAAGCGTCACAGCTGGACTCCTGATTGGATTGTCACAAAAAGCTATGGTCACACATACGCAAATGCAGACTACTACTTTCCAACTACAACTTCCCAAATGGTTCTGTGTAACAAACCATCTGGCGCAGTCAGGTCAGTGTCGCCACATTTATAAAAAAAACGTACTGTATGTAATTTTTAAGATATTGTTATTATTTCTGTGGGATAAATTGTGACTTGATATTGACATCCCTGTGTAAAATTGTAAAAACCTCTTTATGGCTGTAAAGAGTCGTCTCTCACCTCCCAGTAGCACTCGTCATCAAAACAATTGTCATCAGCAGCATCTCCCCAGATAGGTAATCTTAAAATACAACCTGAGAACAATAGAAATAAAGTCATTATCCCAACGCACAGTCCCTCATCCACTGAGTGTTAACACACCCATCTTATTCCAACACAGTACAGCTGCATTTCTTTACATACATATTGTATATTTTCAGTTATATGATCAAACTGAATAGATGATTGGTTGCAGGGATTATTCCTTACCAACAATGATGCCTCCGCCTACACCAAAGCAGATAGCCACACAAAGGCCTGCAGCCTGGTGACC